GAGTGGGCAGAGCTGGCTTTTGCCGCTCCGCTGCCACTGGGCAGGTTTGTGAGGTGGAGACCCTCACTGGATCCTCCCCTCAGTGCACGCTCTTGTGGGCCTTTTGCAGGTTCTCTCTGTGCCCCATCGCCGGCTGGTCTGCTGCAGCCGCTTGTACGAGGTGACCGATGTGAATAAAGTGCAGAAGCAGGCAGCTCACCAGAGGGAAGTTTTTCTTTTCAATGACCTGCTGGTGGTGAGTGTGTTCTGGCAGTTGGGCATCACAGTGATAAAACTACCCCCCCTATCTATAAAGAAGTCTAAAACATACATACCTCTCCCCTCTTTCCTAAGAACAGGCCATCTCCTGACCCATCAGCACTGCAATACAGGGCTCTGCATCCTTTGCTGTTAAAAACAAGCCAAACCTAAAATTTCTCTGATCCGTGAAAAAAAACAAATCCACATCCCACAGCCATCCAAGCAACATCATTGCACTCTCTCATCTCTTGGCAGCCAAGGGAGTTTCATTCCTTGCACTGCTTGTACCATGATAGACAGAGCTCTCCCATGCACTTCAGATCTTTCCTGCCAGACACTTTAAAGCCATACCTTCTACCAGTGCAAAGGTAATATCTGCACTCCGTGGGAGAGCAGATATTACTTACTGGAGCCAGGAATGTGTATAGCACTTTAAAAGTGTGCTTTCTCAGGGTCCTTGCAGTTGAGTTCAGACAGGTACAAGGGAGGGCGCAGGCAGACTGGGAGTGGGAGCAGGCAGAACAAGGGGAAAGTTCTGCTTTAAGCACCCGAGGAAAAGTCCTGAGCTTTATGACAAAGGGAGACTGTGTATATGTAGGAGCAATGGACAAGAGAGCTTTCCTCACCTCTTGATCTGCACACATTCATAGGTGTGAGCGTGGGGAAATGGTCTGCTCCTTGCTACTAGTCTGCCTCATGGGGTAAATCATATCCATGAGACTAGTACTGAGGGAGCAAGGGCAGCACAGCATGCATGCATTTGTGCTGTTTCTCAGCTCTAAGGTATTTCTGATAGGCTCCCCTTAGCTTTCCAATCAGGCCCTTGGTGAATAGAATGACCCTTGCCAAGTCAGAAATATGAGCATCAAAAGCTAGCATCCCTGGGAGACAGAGCTGAGTGGGCCCCAGGGCTATGCAGACAGAAGTTCAGAAGTGTTGTTACAAGTGCAGCATGCCAGGCATTTATCTGGGGAAAGACCCTGTCAGTCACCAGGTGTTAGTACCGTATTGCACTAACAAAGCCTGCAAATAAACTTTTTTGCTTTATGCTTTGAGCAGTTTGCATTGTTCTTGCCTTCCTGTTCCCCAGCACCTTGCCCAGTGATACATCTCTCCCTTCAACAGATCCTCAAGCTTTGCCCCAAGAAGAAAAGCTCCTCGACCTACACATTTTGCAAGTCAGTTGGCCTGCTGGGGATGCAGTTCCATCTCTTTGAGAATGAATGTAAGTCTGTCACTCCATGGCAGCCTGGAGGCATTTGGAAGGGAAAAGGAGAATGAGGGAGGGGGCTGTGTCACCCAGTGTGATCTTGTATCAGCAAGGAATTCCATCAGGGTTAAAAGGGGAGGCAAGAAAACTGAGGCTTCATACTGAGGGGATAGCTATGCAGGTACACTGCAATAAGAGGCACCTGATTCTGCTCTCCAGGCCTAAGCACCCACAGAAGGGGTGAACTTGAGCTCCTTGAAATGGACTGATTTGTTGTGGTGGCAGAAAGGGTGCCAGTGGGGAGGAATGAAGGAATCAATGCCCAGATACAGCTCACTTAGCTCTCAGGAGCCAACTGTATGTGGAGAACCTTGTTGACAAAACTGCTGCTGCTGCTGCCTTTAGCCCCTCTCCCCTTGCACCACAAGTCACAACTCCCAGCTCTAACTTTGAATTAGATAAGGACTCAAGTGCTGCTGCTGCCTACCCCCACCCCATGCCAGGCTGAAAGCTTTCTGAGACAGAAGTAGAGCCCTTGGAACAGCACCCACCAAAGCATGGCAAGAGGCCAGCCCTAGTCAGCCTGACCTTGATGGTCTGGGAATAGAGCCATGATGTATCATGACTGAGGCTGGTTGTGTGGTGGAGGAGTGCCAGAAACATACAGGCTCCCTGCTGGCACAGACAGGGGTGCTGCATGCCTGTCCCAGGCCAGTGTGGCCAATGCCCACTGGGGTTTTTGTGAGCACCTGCAGAATATGCCGCAGAGAAGGAAGACTGTAGCAGTACTGTGCCCATACTGAGATCTTCACATCCTTTCTTTACCCTACTGACAGCATGAGTCATCCTCTCAACCCCCTACCCTCTGCAGCAAGCAATAGGTTTCATACCCCTCTATTTACAAAGGGGGCAATCAGAGCTGAGCATCCAGCAGGCACTGTTAGACCTGGGATCACCTTTTGGGGTACTGTGACTATCCAGGGAGTTCTGAAGGATCTTCTGGGAAAAGCATCCCATTGTGTATCCCCTGTACAGATAGAAACACAGATGTCCCAAAGAGCTTGTGATCTAAACAGATGAGACAGACATGGTGGGAGAAGGGCCCTGGGATGCAAACAGAAGGAGCTGTGGGCTGGCAGCAAAGAGCAGGTTTGTCTTTTGACTTGTTTGGAAAAGATTGCTTAAGAAAGAGGATGGTGAAGGCAGGCGGAGGCAGGGGCAGAAGGAGAAAAGAAAACAAAACAGATGAAGAGAGAAATTGGATGTAGACAAAGGTGAAGGGGAAGGGGAAAAAGGGTTGAAACTGCTGGCCAATAAGCAAAAGATAGAGAAAGTCCAGTCACAACTGTAGCAATTTCTCTGCCTGCCCAAAAGCCCCTGGTTCTCCTGCTTCTGTTGACTGGATCTCCAGTTGCCTCTTCCCTGCACCCAACCTAATCTTTAAAACACAAGACCTTTTGCTGTGATATTTTCACTGCCTAGGCATATCCTTCCATTTGCGTTCTTTACAATTTCTTTTGCCTATTGGGGAGTACTGAGCAGAGACCTACAGACCCACATTCTTCTTACCATGCTCTCTGCACAGCACAGTGAGCTTCCCACCCACATTGTGCTAACACCCTGCCATGTTCCCTGCTGGTGAAAGTGGAGACTAGGGAGAAGTCCTGCCTCTGTGGATGTTAATCGCTGTTTTGTCTTTGATGCCAGGAGCCAACCTCTCCTATTCCATGTCCCACAAGAGAAAAGGCTTTGCTGGCCTCTTATAATCACCGTTTACTCCTCCACAGATTCAGGAGGGCTCTATAGTCCTATCTTTATGCTCAGGTTTCTCTGAGCCAATGTTACACTAAGTATAACTAAGTGCAAGAGTTTTCTGGTCATGGCACCGCTGTGCCTGCACACAGCAGAAAAGATGCAGTTTCATGGTGATGATGGCACTTGCCTTGCTGCTGCAATTTGGCCACTCAAGGTGCTGCAATGCTGCAGGCTCCCACAGTTTGCAGTGTGACAAACTGAAAGTGCATCATTCCTCTGGACTTATGTTGGAAATTTTCTGTCCTAGAGAGGTACCAAAGCAGCCAACGACTCCAGCAAGAATGCCTAATGCCTTTTTGTTGTGTTGACACACCTTCTTTCTAGATTACCCCCATGGCATCACACTGGTGACTCCAGTTTCGGGCTCAGAGAAGAAACAAGTACTACACTTCTGTGCTCTGGGTGCTGAGGAAATGCAGAAATTTGTGGAAGATCTGAAAGAGTCAATAGCAGAGGTGACGGAACTGGAGCAGATACGAATTGAATGTAAGGGCCTGTAATATGGTTCAGACCCCAATGCAATCACGCTGCATATGTCTACAGGTGGAGAAAGGGCAAATGAGGTCAATTCTTTAGAAACAGGGCCAAGGAGGATGAGTAGTAGAAGTCTGCATATGATTGTCCTTGTGTTCATTAACAGAAAAAGCAGTTAGGCTCTGTGATCCCCTGTCAGTGGGAGAATTGGAAGAATGTAGCTACTATGATGTTATGAAGCAGAGCCCACAGTTTAGCGTCCTGAAATAGTGAAGCCTGGACTGGCTGACCAAAAAGGCTCCTCTCCATGCCATACTCCTTTGACTATGCAAATATGATCTCTAGTAGCTGGGAAGTACAGGAAAGATCTGATAGTCTTAACAGAGCTGTCCTCTGCATGAGTGAGAGGACACTCATGGTTGGTGATGATGGCTGGGGGACAGGCAGTCTGTATTGTGCCCCTCTGTGAAGCACAGATTAGATGTTCACATAGCCCCCGATAGCCTTCCCACGTATGAACTGATGAGCCAAAATAGCTCAGCATTAGTGGTCCCCTCCTGTGCAGCAATAACCTATCCTATATGAATGCAGGTCATACACGCTGGTGCATGGAGATATTTAAGTGCCTTCACAAGTCAAATCCTCTCCAGTTTCTGTTTCTCTCTTAACTGATCCTTTCTTCCTCCTTTCTTGCCACTCTGTCATCATTTTCTTGCATTAATTCTCCTTGCTGACTTCACACATTGCTCCTTCAGTATGCCATTGCTCTTCCCTCCATCCCCCTCCTCATTCACTTCTACACTTCTTTCTTGCAGGGGAGTTGGAGAAACAGCAAGGGGCAAAGACTCTCTCATTAAGGACCAATGGAGCACAGATGGAACCACAATCGAAGCAAGGATCTCCAACAAGTAAGGGGACCCCCATCTTCTCTTGGCCAAGTCATGCTACCTTTGCAAATGTGTTCTCATTGATCCCTGTGCGAATAACTGCTAAAAGAAGCGATCAGTTTTGCATCCTTTGGCCTTGGGTGAATAGTGGAAATATGAGAAGCGTATGCATTTTTCAGGTATGGTAGAAAAGCCATTAAAATCTCGTTACCTAGTCTGTAGCTGTAACATCCAGCAAAGAGGGGTTACTGATGGAGCAAAGTGCTACATGATAGCTTCTGGAGACCCTGGCCCACTTTTTCTTCCCTGAACTGGTGCCACACAATAACTGCACTGTCAGCTTCTTTCACAGTCTTCATCAACACTTTCTGTGTAGTAACATTTTCTGTGTAGCTTCTATTGTGTGTTCTGAGGCTTTGTGTCTATTCATGCCTTGGTTTGTACGCCAGGGAAAATTGAGCGCAGTGGTGAGCAGCTGCCAACTCACTAGAATGGCACTATGATCAGGACCTAAGGATAGGGTCCCAAAGGGGTTTTCCCCCTACACCGCTAAGCAGCTATCAGGTTGCAAAAGGGCCTGGATTTGATCCTGCAGCTGATAGTCTTATTGGGCCTTATACCCCTGCTTTGAGCTTTCCAGTCCGCAGTATGAGCCAGCTGTTGACTTGAGGTATGGACCTCATAAGTGAGATTTTTTGTTTTATTTCAAAGGCAAGAAGGATTTGGGGGAGAAGGTCTCGGACAGCACAGTGGAGGTAAGTAGAGTTCAGAGCAGCTGAGGTAAGTAATTCCCTCTCAGTTCAGCTCTTCTCACATTCTCTGTTGTTTCTTTTCTCAGGTTTTAATCAATGCCTCCCCAGCCAGACTGACAATTTTACCAATTTCCAGAGATACAATTAAAAGTTACTGCTAGGACGGGTAATACAACTTTCAAATCCAAACTAAACTTCAAAGCATTTTCAATCCGTTTTTATAACTGTAACATCCCTCATGGACCAAGCTCCCAAACGCTGTAGACTAACCCACCCCACTGCTTACGGGGAGACTGAAAATCCCACTAAAGACTTCCCTGACATGCTAACTCCATGCAGCATCACATGCAAACTCCTCTGCAGCCCAGGTTCCCTGCACAGTCTCTGCAGCTCTACCTCTCCACCCCCCCTTGAAGGGGATTAAGCGTGGCCTTTGTATATCAGAGACTTGCCCTAGAGCTTTACCTTCCTGGGTAGGGAGCTTGGCTGTCCTGTATGCATCTGTCTTTGCAGGGATGTCTAACATCCAGTGGGCTGCCTGTTTCTTCACAGGCACCCCTACTCCTACTGCCTGTGAGGAAACAGGAAAATGCCATCTTTACACAGAAAAATCTTATCTCCTACTTTCTGCTCTTTCCTTGTCTGGAATATCCCTATTGCGCCAAATTTGCCATTTTTCCAGGATAGTTCTTTCCCCTCTTGTCACAGTATATTTACTTGAAGAGTTCAGCTTCTCTGTGGGGAATGGGTGCTTCTGCTCTTCCGTTCAGAGCACCCCATTTTCCTGCACACACACCCTTTCTGGGGCAGGTATCTCTCCCAGTCAGCTTCCAATTCCTG